CTGCGGTCCTCCAGCATCTGCAGCTGCTCCATCGTCATGGTCTGGTTCTGGGACTCCATCACGATGCTCGCAGAATCTTTGGGAGAAACATTTATATTAGATTACTGTTATACAAATTTTGAAGTATATCTTCTCACTTTAAACGAAATTTATATGCGGAAAGAATAGTATTAGTTATACCGAAAGTACGAAATGAGTTAAGGTTTTAAGATGATAGAATTGCATCTTCTCATGCAGAGTTTGTTTGTTTGTTTTATAAATTGTGCAGTTATCCGTAGTTAGTGCTATCAGCGGAGAAACATTCGAGTTTTATTAGATATTATTATTTTTCGACTATAGCTTTATTTCCGTTGTTTGTTTGCAGAAGCGAGTAATTTTTTAGCATTAAATACTTCTAGTAATGTGGTTAAATATTTCGATTCCGATCATAAGCTTCTATGTTCTTGATTTTTTTGTCTCAAGAAGGGTGAAAATATATATATAGATGAAAAAAATATTCCATTAAAAAATGCATGGAATAATTTGCAGCAAAAAATATCTTGTTATTATTAATATACGTTTAACCTGAAAAGAGGCAGAGGATAAAGTTGTTAGAAAATCTACAAGCGGTTGCGCTGAGCCACGAGAGCGGCGGAGCAGAGAGGAGCAGCAGCAGGCGAGAGAGTGTAGAACCAGTCGTCCTCTAGCCATATCCCGAACTATAACAGCTACTCACTCAGAACCTTCAGGTCGGCCGTGATTTCATCTTTGCCCATCAAGTTGGTCGCCACGCAAGTGTACGTGCCGGAGTCCTCCTCGATCACGCGCGAGATATCTAAAGCCACGTAGCCAAAGTCGTGGATGAGGCGGAAACGCGAGCCAAGCTGGATCGGCATTCCGTTCCTGTACCAGTCAATCCTGAGGTTCGGGTCGGTGATGGGTTCGATCTTGGCCTCGAAGTGTGCGTTCATGCCCTCCTTCAGCGTCACGCTCTTTAGTTGGGTGAGGAAACGGGGCTTGATTTTCACGGAAACTTCCTCCATGGTTTCTCGCCTTTGGTACCGTGAACTATCATCGAGGTACTGAAGTTTCTGCAGACTATCTGGGTGCTCTGAGTCGAACACTAGATCCTTCTTGGCTAAAGGGGAAGGGGTCAAGGTCAGGTAGGATATGGTAAAAAGAGAGTAACAGGTGCAACTAAATCAGACTAAACTACTGGGTGGGCTGAAGGATCACAACTCCCAAACAACATGACGGAGTTGGTCATAGCAAGGAGACTACATACAAGAATGAAGTAACACTAACACCAGGTAGGATATCGCAAACAGGTCTGAAAACCAATACTTTCTTTTTCATGAAAGACTCAAACAAACCAAGCCTGACACTCAAACTTAAAATATTTACATTACATAATATATAATCTGAATAAATCTAGAACTCAAGGAGGAGAACACTAAGAAATTGGGAATATCACTCAGACATGCATAACGATTTTGAAAGACATTTTTCCTTACCCGTGACTTTGACCGAAGCTGAGGTGACAGCCTGTCCGAGTTTGTTAGTAGCCCTGCAAGTATAAATGCCGGAGTCTATAGGATACACACTCAGAAGATCCAGGGCTACATAGTCGAAATCATATGCAGGCCTGAAACGATGTCCAACTTTAAGTGGTTCATCATTGAAGAACCAATCGATCCTCATGGATGAATCTCCTACAGGCTTCAGGCGGGCCTCAAGATGAATGTTGGTGCCTTCAATGGTCTCAATGTTCTTCAGGGACTTGACGAATGTGGGGGCTTCATTGATCTCTGTTTGCTCTTGCATGGAGCGCTGGTGGCGTGAAGCGTCCTCCAGGTAATGGATCTGCTCCATGGCGTTGTCGTGCATGGATTCAGAGAGAACGTCGCCGGTTCCAATGACGCGAACACAGGAAGAAGTGTGTGCGCTGCCAAGCATGTTTTCGGCGCGACACGTGTACTCGCCGGAGTCAGTGGTGTAAGCTCCGATAATATCGAGAGCGACGAAGCCAAAATCGAAGTAGGTCTTGAAGCGGGAACCAATAGTGATAGGCTTTCCATTGAAGAACCATTCGACCTTCATGGTTGGGTCGTTCATGGGTTCCAAACGAGCTTCCAGGTGGACATTCTTACCCTCTGGCAAGGGCTTGGGGTCAGACAGAAGCTGCGTGAATTCAGGCTTGGACCTTGAAATCTCCTCAATGTCATACTGAGGCTCCTGATGACGACGTTCCATCGCACTGGTCTTGCTCAGCGTCACTTCATGCATAGAAGTTGTGTCGATGGCCGAGCGTGCTGGAATAATCGTGAAATATTAGGAAACGAAATTAACAACATAGTGATAGCTTATCACAGAGTTAAATAAAGTAATACAAAACAGAAGTAATGAGTTACTCACTCTCAACGGTCATGACGCTGGACATCTGTGCCTGGCCGAGAGCGTTGCGGGCCAAGACGGTGTACTGACCAGCATCAGACTGACGGACATCAGAAATGTCAAGTGACACGTAGCCGAAGTCGTGGTAGGTCTTGATGCGAGAAGCAGACATGATCACCTGGCCATTGAAATACCACTCAACGGTCATGGTTGGGTCACTCTGGGGCTCAAGGCGGATCTCGAAGTGAGCCTTCTGTCCCTCAACAATCTTGTTGGTTCCCTTGAGGGGACCCAAGAACTTGGGGGGTATTGTGACCGCGGATGTCTCCTCAGTCTCTGTCTTCTGGTAGCGGGTGGAGTCCTCCAAGTATTGCATCTTAGCAACCGTTTCCTGGTACTGAGTCTCTACCTCAGTATCAGTCTTGGAGAGGACAGTGAGCTGAGCAGTGACCTGAGCCTCACCCTTGCTGTTCTTGGCAACGCAGGTGTAGGTTCCTGCGTCCTTGATAATAAGGGCCTTCACAGTCAAGGCAACATAGCCAAAGTTGAAGAAAGATGTGATACGAGAACCTGCGAGAGAAAATGGTTATTTCTATAAGTATGTCATTAAAATCTTACATGACACTAAAAAATTAAATAAAATTCATGCGACGATGTCTGATACTAGAAGAGAATAATTTACGCACTTGCTTCAATGGGTCGTCCATCCTTCAGCCACTCGACCTTGAGGTTAGGATCACCAATGGGCTCCAAGCGGGCCTCGAAGTGGGCATAGCCGCCCTCCCGAGCCGTGGCGTCCTTGAGCTCTGTCTTGAATACGGGGGCAGTAGTAGCCTCCGCAATTTCCTGAGCAGTTCTCTGTTGCATTTGGAGCCTGCAGCGAAATCATTACATAAATAAGAGTGAACATGATTTACAGCGATATAATTTATCAGGGTGAGTGACGATAAGAAGTTAAAATGTACGTGTTGTCACATAAATTCTGACGAATCCTTTACCTGTAAGCCTCCATCTCCTCAACACTCCTGATGTGCTGAGCCTGCTCGGGGATGCCAAGGTCTCCTGTGACGCTGGACAGAGCTGAAATACATCGACCGATTAATCATCTCGGCACAGAAATCCCTACTAAAACAAGACTATATTCCGTTGGAAAGTATTGCTGATTACCCTGTGTTTTACCAACATCCTAGGAAAAGAACGAATATCTTATAATAATTTTCCAAATACTCACTTATAACTTGAATGGAAGCCTGGCACTGGCACTCTCCTGCCTTGTTGGTGGCACGCACGGTGTAGGTGCCGCTGTCCTCGGGACGAAGATGCATGATGTTAAGAGCCACGTAACCGAAGTTGTAGATTACATTGATGCGAGAGCCTGTTGAAGAGAAAGGTTTATATATATTAATAGAATAATAAGTAGCTGCTAAAAGACCATAATATGTACAATATTTCCCCATATCAAAACATTTGGAGGTTCACTGGAAGCAAAAGTAGACAGTTAAGACGCCCTTGCTTACTGGCAGTGATGGGTTTTCCATCCTTGAACCATTCGATCCTCATGAAGGGGTCGCTGACAGGGTGAAGTTGAGCCTCGAAATGAGCATATTTTCCCTCCATGACTTCGCCCAGGTTGGCGAGAGGCTTGACGAAGGAGGGCTTGATCGTGGAAGATTCCTCGATGGAGACGGTGCGCTGGTACCTGGACTGGTCCTCCAGGTAGCTGATCTGCTGCAGCGCCTCGGGGTGCTGAGTCTGGCTCTCAATCAGGGGGCGCTCTGGGAACACGTCGGAAATGAGGGCGAATTAATAAAGATCCCCTGTTTCTCGGAATCTAACATGCGCAAAAAAGAAGAAAAAAAAACATGTATAAAAGACATGAGTGCATTAACATTTAGGCAAATCCTTACCTGTAATCCTAAGATTAGCGGAAGTCTCGGCCTGCCCCTTGGCATTGGTGGCGCGGCAGGTGTACACGCCAGCGTCAGCCTTGATTACGTTGAGGATGTCAAGGGCCACGAAGCCGAAGCGGTAAGTGACAGTCGCTCGGGAGCCTGGAAGGAGGCAATCGGAATTTAGATCACCTGAGCTTAATCAACAAGTTAGGGAGTCTACGTATTGTGCTGCGCCATGCATTTCTGCATTTACTGAGGGATTTAATATCATCATTTCTCCCTCTCTCTCTCATGTACATAAATATAAATGTGTGTGTGTGCACACACACACATATATATATATATATATATATATATATATATATATATATATATATATATATATATATATATATATATGTATATATATATGTATGTATTTATATACATATATATACATATATATACATATATAAATATAAATATATATATATATATATATATATATATATATATATTATATATATATATATATATATATTATATATATATATATATATATATATATATATATATATATATTATATATATATATATATATACATATATATATATATATATATATATATATATATACATATATATATATATATATATATATATATATATATATATATATATATATATATATATATATATGATACATATGTAAATCTTTCTATGTAAATGGAGGGAAATATATGGCAGCTTATTTCTTGCTCCGACGAGGCGCTCTCGTACTTACTGGCAGCAAGGGGCTTGCCGTCAATGAGCCACTCGACGTTCATGGTGGCGTCGCCGACGGGGGTCACCTTGGCCTCGAAGTGGGCGCGGGTGCCCTCGACGATGTCGATATCCCTCAGGGGATGGGTGAACTTGGGGGGTTCAACGGGCTGCTCCTCCTCGGGGGCCTTAGGCACGTGGTGGGCCCTCTCGACGGGGCGCAGCATGATCACCTCAGGTTCGGGTTCGGGTCTGTTGGCGGGGAAGAAGGTTTAGGGTCAGGGAGAGGTGGCACCGGAGCAATGCGCAACACATTGAAGCTACTTAGAGAAAGTGTTTTCGATTAAATCGTTCACCTCTTATTACTGGACGTGGTAACTGTGGCCTCTTAGCCTTATATTACTACTTTCCACTGTCTTATCTAAAGATGCAAACGGTACATACTCAGGTTCGATGAATTTGACGGGCCTTGGGAAGTGGGGCCTCTGGGGTTGGGCGGGGCCAGAAGGCTTGGTGGTCTGTACGTGGAGACGGGCGCGGGTGGCCGCGGAGCCGGCGGAGTTCTGAGCATTGCACTGATACCAGCCGGCGTCAGAGCCGCTGGCGCTCAGGATCTGCAGTGTCGAGGCGCCGTTCTGGTCACTCTGAACCTGTGGAATTGACAAACTCTTTAAGGTCTTGTCCCATGCGGTGCTATGGGAATTTCTAAGTCCTCTAACTCATCGACGGACTGTATATCAAAACCGTAAAATCTGAGTAATTCAAACTGACAGAACTAACCATGACATTGGGGTTATTCTCAACGGAGACTCCGTCCTTCTGCCATGTGAGGAAGGGCATGGGAGTCCCGACGGCGCGGCACTGAAGGACAACCGTCTCTCCCTCGGCCACGGCGCCCTGCTGGAATCTCTCCACGAATTTGGGGGCGACCATCTGCTGCATCTCCAGCACGTTAAGCTGGCACTGTGTAAGAAAGAGGCATTTAATTACAAGTCTGGCCAAAGTGAGAGAAGATACAAAGATATCTGTTCATAAAACATTAATTATCGAAGTGGCCGTCGCGTGCGTTCCTCACCTGGAAGTTGGCTTCGCCAGACTTGTTCTTGGCGACGCAGGTGATGACGCCGGCATCGCTAAGGGAAGCCTTGCTGATCATGAGGGAGTGATTACCTGCCTCGTTAACTAAAACCTTGTGGGTGGCATCGTCTACTACCAGCTGGCCATTGATGTACCAAGTGACCTGTGTTGCAAAGCGAGAAACAATTCTTAGTGGCCGAATGCGAGCCATATTTTACCATTTATATATACAGTAAATATTTGTTTCCTTTATTAATTACATACCACATGTAGAACAATGAATGGAATTTGACATAAACATAATCCTTCCCCAGGCGCCTTACCTCAGGATAGGGCCTGCCAGAGCAGCGGGCGTCGAAGCGCACCATTTTGCCCTCCTGGACTTCGCGGTCAGCGGGGCCTCGGACGAACTTGGGTTCCAAGGACTTGCCGCTTTCCTCTCCGACGTCCACCTCCATCTGCTGTTGAGCCTGCTGCTGCTCACTGCAGGAGGAGAAAGAAGCGTCACATTTGTTCTTTTAGCACTGTGAATTGTGTCAAAGTTCAGGTGGTAATGAAGTAATGGTGATTTGAATTCGTTTACACTAAATTTCTGTAATCAACTTACATCCGTTCAGGACGGATAACTTCGGGAGATGGGGCGCCGTTGGTGACCTCGCCCCGGGGCACCACGGCTAGCTGAGCGGAAGCCACGGTGCACCCAGAGGAGTTCTCGGCCAGCATTGTGTAGTAGCCGCTGTCCTGTGAGTTCACCTGCTTCACCAGGGTGGCCGGCGGACTGGGTCATCAGGTATTTGTCGCTTTGCTGAAGACCGACGCCGTTCTTAAACCAGATAACCTGTGAAGACAAGAGCAATGAGTCCGCTGGCCTTTGACAAAATAAATACATAAATGGAGAAATAAATACAATCTAGCATTCAGTGATCTCTGCAAAGAGGGTTAAAGGCCCTAAAGGAGTCTCACCCTGGGAGTCGGGTAGCCGTTGACATTGACGGTGAAGGTGGCGTTGCCTCCGTCGGAGACCTTAGTGGAGCGTGGCTTCTGCTGGAGCTGAGGAGCCTGAGGAGGACCCTGGATGGCGCCAAGGTCCACCTCCAGCTCTCCAGCCACGGTGATTGTCAGAGAGCGACGGAACTCCACTTCATGAAGCAGTCTGTATTCGAAGGTGTCCACGCGGAACGACTCCATATGTCCATTTTGCACCGACATCATCTGTTGCTGCTGCTGCGAAAATGTTTGCGACATCTGCTGTTGCTGCATCATGGACTTACTTTGTTGCATCTGCATGGACTGGCGTTGCTGCTGCATCATGTAGGCCGCTGTGGGTGGAAATGGGGTTTCAAGATAATCTACCGAGTCCTTTTAGACTGATTTTGTTTTTGAACTTGCAGTTATCAGGTTAAAGATATTAACCACC